AAAATGCCCTTGGTTAATGCAAACATTAAGAATTGAAATTATTAATTAAATGAGGATAATATGGTAAATTCGCACTTTTTCTTATTTTAAAAAATTAAAATTAAAAGAAAAATCGGATAATGGATCCTATTTTTATGGAAAACAACTACCCATTATCTTTTTTAATTCTAAAATAAATTAAATTTTTTTTATAAAAAAAGCCTCTTGCAGGCGCGAAAGCGCATGCGGAGAGGCTAGTATATATAAAGCAAAAGGCAGAGAATGGTGAAACATTCAAAATACCAAAAAATGCCCTTGGCTAATGCAAACATTAAGAATTGAAATTATTAATTAAATGAGGATAATATGGTAAATTCACACTTTTTCATATTAAAAAAATTTAAAATTAAAAGAAAAATCAGATAATGGATCATCTTTCTATGGAACATATCTGCCCATTATTTTTTTTAATTCTAAAATAAATTTAATTTTTTTTAAAAAAAAAGCCTCTCGCAAGCGCGGAAGCGCGTGCGGAGAGGCTAATATATATAAAACAAAATGCAGAGAATGGTAAAACATTCAAAATACCAAAAAAATGCCCTTGGTGAATGCAAATATTAAGAATTGAAATTATTAATTAAATGAGGATAATATGATAAATTCACACGTTTTCATATTAAAAAAAATTAAAATTAAAAGAAAAATCAGATAATGGATCCTATTTTTATAGAACACAACTATCCATTATCTTTTTTAATTCTAAAATAAATTTAAATTTATAAAAAAAAAGCCACATGGCTCTATACCATTGAATGTGTGGGCTCCACACATGTGCCACGTCACCAATTTAATAGAAAATTTGACGGAAGTTAACGGGATAGACCTTTTTAATGTGTGGAGGGTAACTTTAAGGACCATTAGTGTCACAAAAAAGGTTAGAGACGAAAAGTGATAATTTCGCAAATCTCAGGAACCATTTGTGATAAAAAGCCAATATTAAATTGACTAAACAATGGCTACAGATGCGAAAAATTAGCGACTTGGGGCCTGTGGTATTATTGTTTTAAAATCATGACCCAATTAGCAAAACAGGGAAATCTGAGTCAAGTCTACTCTTGATCCCCATCAATGTTCATTACACTTGCAGCCATCATGAAAGACTTGGTGTTCGTTGACCTGTAATGAGAATCAGCTCTGTTCTCCAATGAGCAGGGCCCATGGTATTAATTGTTTAGATCATGAAACAATTAGCAGAAGAAGAAAAGTCTTAGCCAAGTCAACCCTTGATCCCTATCAATATTCACTCCACTTGGATCCACCAAGAAAGACTTGATGCTCATCACCTAGAAACTTTCAATTGTGATTGGGTCGAGCTTGGAAGTGAAGGTATGGAGATGGAAAGCAACCTTATCATGAAGAATCAGAAGCTTGAAGCCTTGGGTATTCTCAGAAAAGCTCTTATAATCTCTGCAAGAAACACCAACTTCTTTATCTTCACCATTCTCACCTCCCTTCCTCTGTTCTGTTTCTTGGTTTACTATGAATCTTCTCTCCAAAAATCCCTGGTTGATATCTCAAAAATTCGAAATCCACTCTACAGCAATGTCCATGGTTACAGGGCTTACTTCAACTTGAGTTGGTCAATACCATTAGACATAGCCACAAAATTGAACAAAGAGTTTCCTTATCAGTTGACTCATCTTGGTCTTTTCTATCTGGTGCCTCTCCATCTCCTAAATCTCAGCATTGTGATTGTGATTGTCCATTTGGCATCAAAGATATACGCGGAAGAGATACCGACGACGATGACTTTCAAAGAGATGGTACATAGACCCTTTGGCAAAACAAGACTGAAGGGCATATTTGTTACATATGTCTATTTTCTTTTCTTGTCAACTTGTATTCTTCTAGGATTGGCATGGTTAGGAATAATATACTATGCTGTCTTCAGGGACTTCAGCTTCATGGATGATCATGCTTCCTATGCTGTTCTTTGTCCATCTTTTGTAGCACTGCTAGTAATGTATTTGGCATGGAGTTCTGTATGGAATGTGAGTGTTGTGATTTCAATACTGGAGGGGACACGTGGAATCAAGGCATTTGGTCAAGCAATATATCTCACCAATGGTTGTGAGTGGAGAGGGTTTATTTTGATGCTTATTTTCTGTGCTTGGGAAGTAGGTTTAAGGTTGCCATGCCTCTACATTGGCGGCTATGAAAGAGGGAATTATATTGGTCTTGTTGCACAGGTTAGCTTGTTCTGCTTTGGGAATGTGCTGAAGTGGATTGCCTGCATGATATATTTCTACGATTGCAAGAACCGGTCTTTAGAGAAGAAATGGATTATGAAGGGTAAGAAGAGAGTTGAAAGCTGTGGATGAATAAGCACTTCAGGCAAGTAGATGGATGAGATCTTGTTGAAAAGAAGCTCCAGATGAGCACTAATAGGAACTGCAACTAAGTTTGATTTGGATCATTCTGCATTATGTTGATTTAAGTCTTTTAGCTCAATTTGCAAAGTTCTTTAGCTTTTCTTTTGATTAATCATGTCTCACTTTACTTGGCAATGTTTCAAACATGTTTAGTGTAATCGTGAACATTAATTATATCTGCTATTTTCTTGCATACCCTTTGTTGCAAATTCCATTGCCATGTGGGAGACAATTATATCACGCATTTACAGCAAAAGGTGTCTCTTGAAATAGTATTGTTAACTCTTCAGAAACACTATTTTCCCAACAATTAGCACAGAAATTCTCCTTAAGAGTAACACAAAAACTATCTCAAATATGAGGAGAGTACTGAACTTCCCAGAAGTGGTCCTGGTAGGAGGAGATCCCAACCTAAGACAGATGGTGCAATGTTGAGTTTAAAATATAAAACCTTTGGCCTTTGGGAGCACCGTTAGGCTCTTGCATTCTCATCGGAGTGTTAAAGCGTCCAACAATATCTACGGTAACAAAAACGGTCTGCAATACCTTGATATATAATAGAACTATCAATTACAGCCTAAAGGTATCCACGAAAGTGCAAGGGGATATGAAATGGCGACATTTTCCACCAAGTAGACAAATTCAAGGTTAACTTCTGTTTAAAATTTCTTTTGTGAGCTAAGAAACAAAGTCAAGGTTAACAAAACAATGGCTCTGAATGTGAAAAATTAGTAATTCAGGGCCATGATAATTAATTATTTATTTTGTGCATCATGAAGCAATTTCAAAGACGGCAAAAGTCTGAGTCAAGTCCACCCATCAATATTCGTTCTGCTCAACCTTCAAAAGGGTTGGGGGTTGGTCTGGGGTGGGTCAGGGGCGGACTTGACTAAGACTTTTGAGTGTATTGCTAATTGCATGAAGTCAAGAAAGACTTTATGTTCATTTAGAAATTCACAATTGTGTTTGGATTGAGCTTGGAAGTGAAAGCATGGAGATGGAGAGCAACCTTATGATGAAGAATCAAAAGCTGGAAGCCTTTGATATTCTCAGAAAAGCTCTTGTAATCTCTGCCAGAAACACCAACTTCTTCATCTTCACAATTCTCACCTCCCTTCCTCTCTTCTGTTTCTTGGTTTACTATGAATCTGTTCTCCAAAAATTCCTAGTTCAAATCTCAGAAATTCTAAAACAACCCCTTGATGACCTCGTCCTCGACAATGTTTGGACCAGACCATTTGATATAACCAGAAAAATGAACAAAGAGTATACTGATGGGTTCATTCATCTGGGTCTTCTCTATCTGGTGCCTCTCCATCTCCTAGAGCTCAGCACCGTGTTCGTGGTTGTTGATTTGGCATCAAAGATATACACAGAAGAGGGACCATTGATGACTCTCAAGGAGATGCTACATATACCCTTAGACAAAACAAGACTGAAGGGCACTTTTATAACATCTCTCTATGTTCTTGTCTTCTCAACTTGTGCTTTACTTGGATTGATATGGTTAGCAACAACATTCTTTGTTGTATTCAAAGACGTAATGTATGATTTGTTCTTTGTTGTATGGTGTGGGCCATCATTTGCAGCACTGCTAACAATTTATTTGGCATGGAGTGCTGTGTGGAATGGGAGTCTTGTGATTTCAGTGTTGGAGGGGACATATGGCATCAAGGCATTTGCTCTAGCAATATATTTTAGCAGTGGGAGTGAGTGGAGAGGGATTCTTTTGATGCTTATGTTCTTTGCTTGGGAAGTAAGTTTAAGGTTGCCTTGCATTTATATCGGCTGCTATGGAAGAGGGATTAACTATATTGGTGTTGTTGCTCAGATTAGCTTGTTCTGCTTTGGGAATGTGGTGAAATGGGTCGCCTGCACGATATATTTCTGCGATTGCAAGAACCGGGCTTTAGAGAAGAGGTTGATGATGAAGGGTACGACAGGTGAAAGCTGTGGATGAAAAACAGCTTGTGCATATATGTGATCATGATGATCAGAAACTCCAGAGTACAATTATGAACTGCAGCAAGTTCAGCATCAATTTCCACATTATGCAGATTAACTACGTCTTCTAGCTCAACTTGTAATGTTTTTTTTTTTTCCTGAAATTTTCCTGAAAAGTTAATCGTGTAAAAGTTTACTTGGCCAAGTTTCATATGAATTTGGAATTATCTTAAACAGATATTTATCTATATCTGCTGTTGTCTTGCATACCTCTATGTGGTGAATGCCATTGGGAGACTGAATAAACTTGTGGTCAGATTTTCACTCACCTAGTTTGGGGTATAATCCTTATTTTGGTGGTCAATATAATCAGCAAATAAAATGCAGATAGCTTTATTGAAAATATGTACAATAGATATTTCAAACTTGTAATTGTAATGGTTTGTGGTTATGACAGTATATAGATGTGGTGGGTGATTTTTATTTTTTTGTTATAGTTTGTGTAACGTTTACTGTGTTGCTGAATGGGGACACATGACACTACAACTTGTTGAGATCACTTTCCTTCACAAAGAGTCCATGGAAGCCATAAGGCACCCGCCGGGGCAGCCTCACATCTGCCACAATATCAAGCTGAGGAGACTTGGCATCCATCACCAAGAACCTTGATTCTCCTGCCTTCTCATCGTGAACATACGTCACCACGTACCCATCATCCTCATCCGCCTCCGGATTCTCTGGCTCTCTAGCCACGAAAAACGGCTCACCCCCATAGCACCCTGGCCCAAACATCCTGCTAGCCACTATACACTCCTTGTGCTCCACATTGGACACATCTAATTTCACCACCCCTGATATCTTAGGCATTGGATCACCCACAGCTGCATAAATATACTTGTTCTGCCTCCCCACATAAGCCGGATTGAACACAGCAAAGTCTAGATTTCTTGTGGAGATGGGTTGCCTTGACACAATCCCTGTCTTGAGATCAATCCTAACTTTCTCAACCGAAGCATGGATCAAATCCATTCTCTCCAATGTGTGCTCTGCCGACAAAATGTTTGGTGCCACCATCACTATAGCATCCTCTTCATCCCAAGCATTGATGGCATGTATGATGTTGAAACCAGGCACATCAAACCACCTCATCTCCGATTCGTCTTTCGCATATCGCGGGATCACTCCGATTCTAGGCACCTTGGAAGGGTTCAAACCAACAGGGGATGCTCCTTTGGTGATCATGTCAATTGGGTTCATGCCAATTTGTATGTCAGCAAAGATGGCATATTTTTTTGTGATTGCAAAATCATGGAGGAACGATGGAGTGACCATAGAAAATATGGGCACGTCTGGCTGTTTTGTGCCGTTTGCATCAAACCGAAAGTATGTTAGAAATGGAGGCAAGGGGCCGTAGCGGAAGGCAAAGGCCTCCCCTGTTTCAGGGTCTATCTTTGGATGAGCCGTCATGCTCATGAAGAGCTTGCCATCAAAATCATGGCGTCCCAGAGTTTGGATATCTCCATTGGATGTCAAACGCAGAGAATAAGGGAGATCAGACTCGCCAAGCGCATAAAGTTGGTTGCCAAAGAAAGCCAAACTTGTGTTTGCAAGACCAATGCCATTAGCAGGATTGTATTGGCCTGTACACAAAAGAATTGAATATATTAAGAAAAATCATATGGAAATTTCTAAAATAAAAAGTTGTATTTATAGTTTGGTATTATAATTATTCGCATCTTATAAATTGAGTGAATTAATAAAACCACGGGGTTAGTGTGTAATTTTACCAAATTGATTTAAATAGTTAGTGAAAATTTTAGACTGTGCCTGTAAAGATGCGGGCAGCGGAGAGAGCGCCACGTGTGGCGGAGGCAGTGAGGCTGTTGAAGCTAGAGAAGACGTTGGGAAGAAGAGGGTAGCCGGCATCACGCTCAATGGTGTATTTGTAGGTCTTGACATAGCGGCTGCAGAGCACAGCACGGCCTTTGGAGATCCTAACAGAGTGAAGCATGCCGTCTCCGTCAAACAGGTGGTAGGGCCCACGTGGAAGGTACTGCGGGTTCGGGCCATTGCGGATGTAGGCACCGTCGAGGCACGGCGGCAGGGAGCCCTGTATGATCTCACACTCGGTCGGAGGAAGCTCATCAACAGGAGCAAAGTTGTTGGAGAGGACGTGTTTTGGGTCCACAGAAGGGCGCAGTGGAGGGTCGATGAAGCTGTTAATGATGTCATCCAAAGCGTTGAAGATCACTGCAGGTAGCGTAGGATCTGTTTGTTTCTTGGCCGCAGAGAATGTTGAAGCATTGTTGTAATCGCGAGCTTTTGTTTTTAGTGGCGGGGATGGAGTTTTTGGAGGCTGTGGTGCTTTTGTGGAGGTGGGTTTTGTAGCTGGTGGTGGGCTTGATGGTCTTTCTTCAATTCTAACAGAGGAAATGCTGAGCTTGGGGGTTGCTATGGCAGGAGAGAGAGATAGATTTTGAGTGGGAAATGTGGATAAGAAAGAGGAAGAGAAGGCATCCATAATTCTGGTATGGCAAAGTAATTAACAAAAGAGAGAAAAAAAAAGGTAGTGAGGTTTGGGATCAGTTGGTTGGAATAAATAAAGGCTTCATGATGGTGTTGGGATATTTGCTTGCTGTGTGAGGAGAGGACTCTTTCAAATAATTCTGGTTACAATCAAAACAGAGGAGGGGACCACATTCTGCAATATCTTCCCCTTCCCCAAATGGATGGTTCAGAATTTTCAATTCAAAAATTATATCTGGTAATACTCGCTAAGTTGATGTTTCACCAAAATGCATTTATTTCAGAGGGGCACCCTTGTCACCTTCATCTTGCTCCTTTTCTAATCTCAATTTGTATAGTATTTGGGTTAATATCTTTAGTATCAAGCTACTATCGGCAAGTGCTTTCTCTTTTAACTTTTTAAAACTCTCTCTCATGCAGAAGAGAGAGAGAGAGGGCAACTCCAGCTTTGGAATGGGAAATATACCAACCATGACATAAATGGATCTCTTCATAGAAAGAGAAATCATCCCTTCTAATCGAATGCTTGATGTATATTTTAGTGCCCGTTTGACATTGCTTATTTGGAGCAGAAATCACTTATTTTGAAAGTTTTCTTCAATCTGCCTGTTTGGTAAATAAAAAATAAATCTGCTTTCAAGCATAATTGCTGTCGCTGACAGCTATTTGGAGAAGCAGGTAAAGGGATGATTATATTTCGGCTTATGCGGAAAAGGGGGTGAGGAACCAGTGGTATTTTAATGAATTTTCCCGAAATGCCCAAATTATCCTCTTTAACTTTTAGATATTACTTCCATTGTCCTCTTCACTTTTTCCCATGCGTGTTTTTTTGAATCTCTTCTCCTTCCTCATTTTCTTCTTCTTCTTCTTATCTTCTTTAACAGAACCCATATCTACTTTTCTATAATTTTCAAAGAACACAAATTTACTTTTCTTCTATAATTTTAGCGAGATCCAGATTTAAGGATGAGCCGCATAATTTTTCTCTAGGATTCACACTTTATTTTTTGGGTTGTTTCTGGGTGATATTTATGTTATTCTGTTTTGGTTTTTATTATGTTTTTTTAGTTTGTATCAGGGTGATGTCTTTGTCATCCTGTTTTGGTTCTGATGTTTCTGTTTTATTTATTTATTTTTTCGTGTAGAGAATGAAACCTTCATTATAACTCCCACAAGGTTCGAGAAAACAATATGAAACTAGCAACCCAAAACACTGCTTAATCACGTACATAAACCAGGAAGAGACAGATAAATTTTTATTTTAAAAAACCAGGAAGAGACCAAATCTCCCAGACCATAATCGTTAATTTGTTTTACTCTTTTAATTTCTAATTTAACTTAAAATAAAAGAAAAGGAATGCATATATTCTTTTTTTTTTGTCTGAACCACGAGGTGGTCCTGGATGGGCTCCAACTATGGGTGGCACCTTTAAGCCTTAACCACAACCCAGACTAATCCCCGCTCAAACTGGGTCGGCCCGTAAGGGGTAAAGTGTTGGCCAAAGTGGTGACTCCATAGGAATGCATATATTCAATAATGCAAGTAGGAGTAGAAATTAAAAGAGTAGAAGAAATTGCTGATGATGGGCATGGAGTATACTCGACGGGACTCCATGGGAATTGACAATTAATTTGCAATTGACTGTTGGGCATTGAGATATAAACTATAGTGGTAAACAAAATTATTGATGGACATATGTTCAGTTTTGCAATTGGTCATGACATTTGGAGATACTGTTATGCATGTTGGAGAGATATTGCTATCTAAATAAATGACTTCATTACTTTATAATTGAAACATAGTTAACAAAAGATTGTACAAGTCAAAGTGAAAGTGTTATTTTCACTAATTTAGAAGGAAAAAAAAAATTGTTAACATTATGTCATTTTTAGTCATTACACAAAATCACACCACTTTTACACAAAATTTTACCAAACATTCATAAATTGATTTTTGTACTAACAACAGTTTTACTATTTAGTTTACCAAACGCTAAACTACTTTCCTTCACAGCTGATTTCTCTCACAGCAAATCTCAAAGTAATTATTTTCACAGCACAGCAATGCCAAACTGGCCTAACCCAATACTCAGATTAGGTTTGCCCTGTTTTGGAACCAACCATTAAATGGCTCTCTTCATAGAAAGAGTAAGAATCTCTCTCTTTCTAAAGAGAGAAATAGTCCCTCAAGGGACGCAAGGACTTCTTTCAAGGCTTGTTTATCTTTTCTTTTATCTATTTTTTGTTGTTGAGATATTTAGTCATATATCCATTCTTAGCACTAAAACTATAAATAAACCATACACCATTTAATTTCTATAAACAAACCCAAAAAAATGACAACTGGCCCTATTGAATTTAATTTTGATTATTAAATTACTTTGATGCTTTATTGAGTGTTTTGAGTTTTTTTTACGAGGTTTTGGGATTGGGTTTGTTTTAAGAAATCAATGGCAGTTTTGTAATTTAAAAGAAGTTAGAAGTATTTTTGTTATGTTGTAAATGGGCTTTTTTGGTTTGAACTGCGAGGTGGTCCTGGATGGGCCCCAACTATGAGTGGTACCTTTAAGCCTTAACCATAACCCAGACTAATTCCCGCTCACACCGGGTTGGCCCGTAAGGGGTAAAGTGCTGGTCAAAATGGTGACTCCATACGAGAGCATGGATCGAACCCCTGACTTTGGGTGTGTTTGTAAAATCAATTTCATATATATTTTATTTTATTTTATAATTTGGGCACCTATATATATATATATATATATATAATGTACCTATATTTTTGTATACTAAATTACGTATATTTGCTTATAATGGACCATATTCAATAATGAACCTATTTTCTCTTATAAATAAGGGTTAATGACCTAAATGGTCCCCAAACTATTGCCCCAGTATCATTTTGGTCCACCAACTAAAATTTTCAATTCAAACGTCCTTAAACTTTTCATAATGTACCAATTTGTTTTTGTGCTTAATTTCTTTTCTTCTTTATTTATAAATAAAATAAATTGAATTTGATTGTTAGGGTTCTTGTTATAGGTGGAGAGCTGTTAAGAAATTAGATTTTTCTGTTGACTCTGAGAGTATGTTGAGTGTTGAATCCATTGATGCACAAATTGAAATGGCCCCAAATTCTAACCCTAAACCCAAGCTTTCAACAACCACCCCATACATTCCACCGGAGCTTGTGTTCGACATTCTTTTACGGCTTCCGCCCAAGGATTTTATGTGATTCGTGTATGTTTGTGAAGCTTGGAATGCCATCATCCATGGCCGACATAAAGACTGAAACTTGCTGAATTGCTAACAATGAATCTTGCAACAATTTAGTGGCAGTTGGGAGGGAGTAGGAAGAAGAAGAAGAAAATGGGAGTTTTGGGGACCAAAATGATATTGGAGCAATAGTTGGGGGGCCATTGAAATCAATAACCCGGGAGTTTTGTGTTAGCTTCGCAAAAAGTCGTATATACCCTTCAAAAACTCAGTCACGTGGCCATCGCGTGATCAGAAGTCACGGAATCTGTAACGGATGGACCATATTGGTACATTATGAAAAGTTTAAGGACGTTTGAATTGAAAATTTTAGTTGGTGAACCAAAATGATACTGGAGCAATAGTTTGGGGACCATTTAGGTCATTAACCCTATAAATAATGTACCTCTATATTTTTGTGTACTAAACCTTGGATTTTGAACATTTTCTTAAAATATACCAATTTCAAATTGCAAATAACAAAAATAGTTGTCATGTGAAAATTAAAATAAGAATTCTTTAAAGGCACCCATGTTGCAATTGACCAAGGAAACCTCAACTCTCATCTTCTATCATTCAAAGCCACTTAATATACATATATATATATATATATATATATATATATATATATACGACACTTAAAATATGAAGAAGATATGCATTAATTTTTGAGGGGCACTTGCATTTTGATCCTTTTATTATAATAATATCGTTAGTATGTATCAACCAAGTATTTCTATCACTATTTGGGTAAAATCTCAATCTGTCACTGTTATATGGGGCAGCTTTGTTAATGATCTCACCTTATCCAAGCAAGCATTGGTTTTTTCTTTTCCTTTTCGGACGCATATATTTTAAGCAACTTGTGTCGTTGCTGAGATTAGCGTCTTCCGCATGCCAATTGCTATATCAATCAGCACTAGGAGAAGGCCACAATTCAATTCATTTATAACCATATATTAACTATCTACGAGTCTACCACACGACAATTTCCCCCAATTTTCTTTTGATTACCTACTTTGCAAAAGATGACAGACAGAAATAGGGCTTTTTTTTTTCTTCCTTTTTTAGACGAGCAATATTGGAGAATGTGAATCAAATATAAGACCGAAAATGCATAAATCAATGCTTTTAATCACTCAGCTACAAGCCCTTTGTAGGATATGACTCAGATATATTAATAACTAACGAATTCAATCAGCTCCCACAACAAATAAAGACATAAATAAAGGAAGCAAAATCAGAACTCTGCTATTCTCAGTCAATCACGATATGATAAGCATTATGATGTTTTCACGTGATATAATTTAATTGGTCAAAAATAGTAAAATAATGTTATCTCCATTCATACAACTTTTTCTGCTCCCAGAGACTCAAGGTTGAAAAATATGAAGGTTCTTTTCGTGTCGAGTTGTGACCATGGATCATTTGCATTGATTTGATTCGCATAAGCCACAAGCCAAATCAGCCAATTGTAAAGGTAACATCAAGTCCAATCAATCAGTCTCAAATTATCAAACCACCGTCCCAATACGTACAAGCAAAATAATCAACACAACATACGTAATTACGCCAAAAGAAAATTTTAATTAACAAAAAAATTCGGATTTAAAACAAACCTCTTTCAACGTGAAAAAAAAAAAATTAAATACCGGTAAATGAATAACTAGCTAATGAAAGAACCCTTAATTACTGAGGTAGTGTCAGTGATGGAATTATCACCCCCACCTTGAGAAAAAGTGAAAGGACAGAGGAAGCTAATGGAGGTCACTATGTCACACGTTGCACTTTTGGTGGATTGTAAATTTAGCACGTGCTACAGTGTAATATGAAAATAAAAATAAAAAAATCCACTATTGTGTTATTGAAACTTGAATCCCTTGATAATTTAGTTGTTTATTTTATTTTATACAATGGAAGGGGATTTT